TTTTTCGTACAAGCACCTGACCGCATATTGAAAAAGCAACTGAGAGATGTTTTTGACGTCTGAGTTGGGCGGCATAGTGCATAATCTCACGGTTCGCTCTCGAAAGGGTTTCATGTATGTGGATGCTTGATGTACCTTCCACAGCAATGTCATTTAATGCAAGAGCTCTTTTGTTTGCTTTGCAGTAACCAGCTACTGATTTGAAGAGTCTAGTACGCGCATAAGAGGACTGCAGCTTAACAACAATAGGTGAAGATGCATTGTCGCTGCTTTGTTTCGTAGCCGGCGCTCGAAATATTTCTCTTACTGCTGGCATCTCATGTTGTACTGCGCTGCAGATGTTACAGAAAATCTCCACACAACTCTTATTCACAGCGTTAGGTATGCCGTTGATGATCAAGTCAGTAGCAACGGTCTCGTTTTCATACCGAGCCGACTCTCTTTTCAGCGCTAGCACTTCAGCTTTGAGAGGAGCAATCGCTTCACACGTCGATTCCACAGCAGTCAGCCTCACATCCAAGAACTTTACCGTAGTCTTAATGCTCTGCATCTCCGCTGAAATCTCATTAAATCTCTGCATCAGTCTCTCTTCAGTGCTCTTTATACTCCCACTCAGCCGTTCTATCATGCCCTGCTTTTGTTTTTCCATTTTCGCCTCAAGCTGTTGTAGCCAATGTGCAGTTTGCAAACTCTCACCATCTCGGCATTTACCATGATGGGGGGAGTTACCCTTCGGCGGGGACAACTTTGCACTTCTTGTTACTTTCTTTTCGACCGACATAAAGCAAATAGAATTATTTCAATTTCGAATTATTTCAATTTCAGCGCGAAAAACAACGTTTGCTTAAATGCAGAAAATCAGCGGCAGTTTAACACACAGGCCTTAGTTTGACAAATATTAAAATCAAGTATTAATTAAAGAAAAGTTGACAAAACCGGCTCATACCGCTCACAATGTATTGACATAAGTATGTCAAGTTATTAACTCTCATTCCAGCACGTTTGATATATCGGACTCGATTTTTACTATACAGAAAACCATAATTTCCACTCTCAGTAATTGAAATACTATCTTTAGCATATCCAATCAGCTGATGAATTTGATTCTGTATCTGAATAGTTTTAGATCTCGACACTTAACAAACTCCTGTTTCCACTACTCGGCACCAATAAACTAAAAAAAAAACAAAAAGTTCCGTACGTCATGCGGACTTGGAACATGGTTTTGTTTCCAACCGTTCTACAGTTTCCAACTTGGCGGTTTTCAGTGAGTACTGCATTGCGTCCTTTACAAGAGGACTTCAGGTTGACTGTATTTATACAGATTTTTCTAAAGCTTTTGATAAAGTGTCTCATTCTATTTTAATTAATAAATTAGCTAGCTACGGATTTCAGTCAGTTTTTCTACAATGGCTTAAATCCTATCTGTCCAACAGGCGATGTGTAGTCACTAGTGATGGCACATCTTCCACATCTTTTGTTGCTTCTTCTGGGGTTCCTCAAGGAAGTTTTTTAGGCTCTTTGCTATTAGTTCAGTTTATTAACGATGTAAGTACCTGTTTTTCCTTCGCTAATTATTTGTTACATTCGGATGATCTAAAAATGTTTGCTTCCATAAAGGACCTTAGTAACGTGCATAAACTTCAAACTGATCTTGATAATTTGCATCTTTGGTGTACTAAAAATCACCTTTCTTTCTATTAAGAAATGCTTCAAAAATACTTTTGGAAAAATTCATAATGTTTTGTTGACTCGTTACTATATTTGTAACTGTTTGCTAGAATCTGTTGAAGGAACAAAAGATTATTTTTTCATCGAATTTCACATTTCATAATCATATTGACCACTTGTTAGAAAATCTTATTCGACTCTAGGCTTCGTCAGGCGGAACTGTACACAATTCTCTGGTCCATATACCCTTAAACTGCTATATACGTCCTTCGTGCGGTCCACTTTGGAATATGGTACGTTCATTTGGATGCCGTATCACAATAATTCTATTAGTCGCATTGAGCGTGTTCAGAAAGTGTTCCTTAAATTCGCTTTGCGATCTTTGAATTTTTCTGAACCAACGCCTTCTTATAATTCTTGTTTGCTTCTAATAAACCTTAAGACCTTAGAAGCTAGGAGATCTGTACTCTCACTCTCCTTTATATTCAATGTTGTTAGAGGCTCTTTGGATTGCACTTTTTTATTGAACCGTGCCCGAATGACTCACCCTTTGTTGCAGCAGACCTTGGTGGGTCACTGCTGTTGTTGTTGTAGCCGGTTGTTGTCGTCGTTTCTGGTGGTTGTTGTTTTTGCTGTGGCAGCAGTTATTCTTGTTGCGGCAGGCCAGTGGTATGGGCCCTGTCGTTACTGGGGGTTGTTGTTGTTGCTGGGTACTGCGGCTGCTACTGTGGCAGCCGATGTTGTCGTCGCTCGTTGTTGTCGCTGCTGTGTGGCACCCTTAATGGGGTCGCCTTGTTGTTGTTGTTAGGCGGTGTGGTCGTTGCTTGGCAGCCGCTGCTATTGCGGTTCGGGGTTACCGCACGGCAATGTGCGAGCTGGCCAGTACCTGCAAGGGAGTTTTAATTAGTATATAGTGTGTGGTATGTTCATAGTTTTCTTGCGTAGAGCACACGCCGAAATTTACAAAGAGTGCATATTCCCTGTCGAACGTATTAATAAACTATTGCTCCGTATCTGAAGTTTTTGCTTTAAATGGAAGTTGCATTTGTTGTTTACTCGTGTGTTGAAGTTTTTAGATTCGGGTCGTGCGTCTGCACATCGTCCCAAAATCAATGTGCAATTAACTAAACCGTATCCCGATTTAGTCTTCGATAGTTTAGTTCTTCAGTCGCCAAGTTCATGTGTTTACCTTATTTGCGGCTGATGCTGACGGTTGTCGTACGGCGTTAGAGGCTTGTGGTTGGTGGTGGTGTTTGCCGCCACGAGGTATCGGTGCTGCTCCTCCCGACTGGCACCTTGTTAGAGTGTTTTATGTGGCTGTACCGCTTCCGACGTGTTTGCTGTTGCTAAAGCTCGAGGTGCAGTCGGGCTCATAAAATTTACTTTCTTGCTTTAATGGTTATATTAATTAGTTTTTTTTTCACTTAGCTTTGCGGTTTCTGTGATTTTCGTTAGGTAGCTGCTATCTGCTGTCGCGTTAGGTATTAGACCAAACCGCAGATATGCTGTTGATTACAAAAATAAAACTTTTTACGTATTTGGCGTATTTGTAAGTCACTTTATAAAACTTGCACCGCCTCAAGCGTGTGCATTTATAATTTACACGCCACCGTAAATTATGATTTATAATGTAGAATTCATGGAAAATATTTTCTACTACACTTTGTTTCTTCCTTTTTTTCCCCTTGTTCACTTTCCGCCCGTTCCACTAAGTTTGATTGTCGAGTCTAAGAACAAATGACCGAATATGGGGGTCGCCAGGAGGTTTTTATACCTTTGCACTGCGGGTATAAGTATCCAATTGGAAAAATAACGGGCACTGCGTCAATTGGATTGCTGCCGTTATTCTTCCTCATGTAAAAAATAAATAATGTTCGAGACCGTCCGGGGGTGCCATAAACATATTATACAGATCTGAACCGGTTGAAAAGCAGCAATTCAACAGCTTTGCTTCTTCACTGGCCGTCTACACAAGGATAAGATTTATTGTTGTTCAGCTGTCTGTTTGTTTGCAATATTTGTGCGGGTTTTTATATATTGACATCAGCCTTTTAGAAGTGTTTTTACCGTCAAAAAATCTCCGAAAATTGCTATTTTAGATCCAAGTACATACTACCATGAATTTTAATATGAAACAGCTCGACTTTTGCTTTTACGCGGACGACACTTAATCACCCTCGCCTTTCCTTTTCTCACACATTGCTTGTCAAATATCTTAAAATTTGAAAGCCATTAGGTAGGCTGAATTCACTTTGAGAAGCATTCTCATTGTCAACACGTCATCGTCAAGAAAACAACTAAACTAATCAGCTTTTAAAGACCACTTCCTATTCTAAATTGCATTTTAGGTTAACTTGTTTTAGCATTCAGAAGCTTATGGTGATTTCGATTCTAACAAAAAATGTTGCCCTTCCACGGTGCAAAATATGTTTGATGTTACACTCAACCCTGTAAAAGTGCATGTTTTTGCCTATTCAGAAAAGAACACAAATCACTGACCTGACATCTACTTTATACGAAATTTTAGCTTTTCCGCGAAGCAGGCTTTTTCGCATTCCGTAATTTTCAGAAAACAAATATTTCGTTGCGTTTATAAAGTAATTTCCATTTTAGTCGTGTATTCAATTGTTCCTGGTATACTAAAATATTTAAAATGGAACCAGAAAGTCCAAGCTGTAGCAAAACCGTTACTGGTATGTAGATTTAAAAAGTTTTGGATACTCAATTTGCATTATCCACAATATGATTATCCTTTTTTTTTCAGTATGGACAGAAGGTGAAACCCGCCTGCTCTTGGACAATTACGCAACCTACCTGCCGGATATTGGTCCTTTAAAACAATTCCGCTGCATGAAAGACATGTGTATGAGGATGTCTCTTGACTTTAATGGCAGAAGTTGGAAACAGTGCGAAGAAAGATTTAAAACGGTGACGAAAAGAAAGAAAGCGTCGGTTGATAACAACTCAACTTCTGGCGCTAAACGACAAAAGATAGCCTATGAACAGGAGCTTGAAAAAATCAACCACCTAGATGATTCCATAGAGCCAACTGTCCGTATAAGCAGCCAAGGTATTGTTTGCATAACTATAAGTTAAGTGAAAAAAGTGCCAAAGTCAAGAAAGCAAAACACAGTTCAGGACACGTTACTTGAGATAGCAGCTAGAAAAGAAGAAACAAAGGAAAAAAGGCATAATCTGCTGAATCATTTGATAGAACAAAATTAGAAAATGATCGTCTAGTATTAAACTGTTTCGTTTTTAACACGAATTTTTGAATGAACTAATAAAAGATCTTGTTTTATTTAATTGTTACACAAAAATGCTTTTATTTGATTTCTCTTTATTTCACCCAACTCACTTAGCACGGCCTCATTAACATCCTCTGCCAAAATATGCGTTTGATTAGAACTATGTTCAATGTATTCCAATTGTTCTTCGAAAATGTAATTTTTATTGATGCATGCAACTATGAATTTACCCATTGGCTCAACGTGAAAATCTAGTCTCATAATCTGCCGAAAGCGGCACTTTAACAATCCAAATGCATTTTCAATCTTTACACGTGTTTGAAAAAACTTGTAATTGTATTTTCTTTCAGTCTCGGTCAGATTCCCATAGTCTCGGTAGGGCGTTAATAGATAAGTGCGGAGTGGATAAGCGGAATCTCCAAGGAGATCGGGCGAGCACAATTTACCCAGCTCCTTACCAATAAACGACAGCTTTAGCAAACGAGAGTCGTGCATTTGACTCGGAACTCCGGTAAAAACGTCCAAAAACCGCAAATTCGCATCACAAATACCTTGCATAGTTATAGATATCGAATCGTGCCTATTTATTTATGTGGATCTGATTTTGTGCTTTGGAGTTCTCACCGCTATATAGCTGGCATCAATGCAGCCCAAAACATTTGGGAATCCACAAATGCGCTTGAATTCACTGCCAATTTCTTCTTTTCCAGCAGCATCTATTGGAAAACCAATCCCGTTTGGAGCAACTTCGTCAAACATAAAGATTAAAAATTTTATGCACGCTTCAAAGCGACATATTAAAAAGGTTTCCAACCTCGCGGAATGTAGTTTTATTACTGCAAAACCTACAATCAGATAAAATATTGTTATTTTGTTAAATTCCATACAAAAAACCCATGCTTATACCACAAAAACATCAGTATTTGCGTCTCATGACTGAATTCTGCTCTTCCGCCTCTATACGTCCTTTTAGCATGGTATGTGCTGCTAGAATATTTGGCAATCAAATAGTTTGCACTTTCACGCCTCACCCTGAAGTGTTTTCTAAACTGAAAATTGAAAAGAGAAAAATTATAGCAATTCCTTTCAGTAACAAAAAGATATTACCTCGGCATCAGTATATGAGCAGACCACGTCCACAATAAAATCTTTTACGTGCGTACGTTCTTCTCTACTGAATAGTATAGAAGTTTCTTCACCTTCCGATGATGATGACGAGGATTCCAAAAGTTCATTTAATGCGTTTTGTGCAGAAATAATGCAACTTTTATAATTGGCCATGATTTCAAATCAAAATTAGCAAAAATGTTTTCTTCAGAACAAAATTAAATGTCAAATTAAACTGGTATATACTTATCCTTGTCTAGCTCATGCATTTCATAATATTGTCGTTTTAAGCAATCAGCTGATTTTCAGGGCAACCATCTCCCCTGACAAAGCTTCAAAGGGCAGAAAAGGTGCCTTTTTTGCCTTACAAGAGTGTGACATTTTAAGAAGCGAACACAAAATTGTTTCACCCTTTGCCCTTAATTAAGAATCGAACACGAAAAGAGAAAGGGGCAATCAAAAGGCGACATTGTTTTGTAGAAACGAAATCACCATTAGTAATTTTTTGTTTTCTCGAAATTCGTCTGTCAGTGCGGAATGGGTTATTAAAATTGAAGCAAAATCAAAACTCACTTGAAAGGAAAAAAATTGGAAGCAAGTTTCCCATTCAGTAGTAGAATAAGAGTGCGTTAGTGGAAAATGTGAGTGTATTGAAAATTGAAAGGGGAAAGTTGAACGTGTAACGTCGAAGTTATGTTAAAATATCATTAACGTTGTCGTCAAGCAGGTTTCGGGCAAAGCAGCCGTAGCTGTCAAACTACCGCAATAGATGGCAAGATATAAGCTCTGATATATACATATTTTTCTCTCTACATTCTAACATATGTGTCAAGATATAAACTCGATCCTGTGGAGACGGGCAGTTACAAGCATCACAAGCCTCCGCTGGAAAACGTTTCTTAACAAAAATAAAACAAACAAACCTGCAGGAACTAGTGACATTATGTGCCCTTTGTGCAGCCACCTTACCGCCCGCTATCACACTACACACTAAACTAGCAACGCACTGCTTACCCCAATAAACTCGGCTTATCCTCGTGGCCAGGGATCCGCTGCTTGCAAATGCTAGGCGTATTCGCTCAGGTAGTTTCACTCCGGGTGCTCTGGTACGCGCTGCACCCCTAATCATTTTGGTATTTGCCGGCCGCTGCTAGTATTGGCGCAAATAGATATTCGGCCAGTCTCAATATTTAAAACGTTATGAATTTACACTCGCGTAACATTCGCTTGGAGTTTTTGATTAAAAGACAACTTTATTTCGAGTTTTTAATTAATTTTGCGTTACCTACGACAAGAAGTACTCTTAAACCAATAAAAATCATAGCGGAAATAGAACAAATAATTCAGCAGATGAATGATGAGAGAGAGAAGGAAGTAGAAAGGAGCAAAGTAAGCAACAGAATCCTACAATTCAAACGGGGAATAAAAACCAATGCAGCGGAAGAATTCATATTGGATGCCTTCAAAAAAAAAAACAAAAGCGCTTCTGAAAAAGTATAAAGATAAGATAGTTGTCACAGATTCAAACAAGGGGAACAAGACGGTGGTATTTTACAAAGAAGACTACAAGGAAAAAATTAACAAACTACTACTGGAAGACAAAAGCACTTACAAAACTTTAAGAAACGACCCAACAAATATTCTGAAAAAACAGAACACCAATATAGTTGATGGGCTCTATAAAAACAAAATAATTAACTAAAGGGAAAAACAAAAATTAATATGCAGCACAGCGACCGTGCGTCGCCTTTACGGGCTACCGAAAATCAACAAGCCGAATCTGCCCTTACGACCAATAGCGTCATCAGTCAATGCCCCGTGCTATGGCCTATCCAAGTTTATTGGTAGTTTTTTAAGAAATTTAACGAGTGAAGAGTATAATATTAATAGAATATTAATATTATAAAAAACGTATGCGTAAATGAGGTTGATTTATTAGTATCTTTTGATGTTGTGTCATTATTCACAAATATACCAACCTATTTAGCTCTTAATGAATAAGTTCAAAGAAGTGCAGCAAAACATCAACATCCCCAAAAACACCTTTCTTAACATATTGAACTTCTGCCTAAAAGATAATAATTATTTTATGTACGACGGAAAAGTTTTTTCACAACCCATGGGACCCTGTCTCCGACAATCCCAGACATAATTATGACAACATTGACATAAAGTTCATAGTAAAATACGTTGATGACATTTTTGCCATTGTAAAAGCAAAAGACCTAGATATCATTCTAAGTACATTGAATAAATATTACAACAAGCGACAGTTTACAATAGAAAGAGAAAAAAACTTCAGCATACCTTTTTTAGATATAAGCAGGAAAAATAACCAGATACTATTGAACTGGTACTCAAAACCCATCTCATCTGGTCGTATAATACATTTTTTATCTGCTCAACCCCTTAAGTATAAACTTAATACTGCAAAGAATCCAATACATAAAATATTAACCATAAGCCAGATCAATTTAGAAACGCAAGCATAAAGAAAATGCATGAAATATTAAAAAGTAATAATTACCACAGCCAACTAATAAGAAATCTCATAGATGCTCATAACAATAAACGCAATAACAAATCTAATGAAAATGATAGCGAAACAAAGTAATTCCACAGTCTAACATACATCCCCAAATTGACGGAAAAATTCAGGCATGACATAAGGAACAACAAGCAAAACATAGCCATACTTCACAATTTTTACAAAAACCAAAATCCGGATCGAACCGCAACAACAAAACAACGTCATATACGAAATCCTATGCAAAAGTAAATAAAACGAGGACTGCAACAAAATCTACATTGGGACTACTAAACGAGCTTTAGGCGTTCGCTTATCAGAACACGAGGCGGAAATAAGAACGGGGAAAACAATACAGCGCCAGCGCAACATATACTAGCGAGCAACCACACGGCTGATCTAACCAAAAATCGTAGATATTGAAAAGAGAGAAAAAGTGAGATACACGATTGAAAGCCTTCGTATTATGCAAAGCAGAGAAAGGGCAGTAAAGAAAAAAGCAGACACGAACGACATTGTGGCTAGTTACTTGTTATGTTTATGAAACACAAATCAGTATGACAAATGTACCAAAAGCGACTGGTACTGATTTATAATTTTAAGTTTTTGTCTGTACACATATACATAAATATGTATGTATGAGCTCCTTCGGCCGTTGGAATTAAAGCGAAAATAAAATTTTTTACTCCTACCCGTTTCAACGAATTTCACGTCTTCCTTAGTCTGCTTTATTTGAACGATAAACAATAAACAATAAACATGGTTAACAATTACTATAACATACAAATCCGAATTTTAAACTCACACGTTACAATTATTCACATTAAACAACAATAATTACATGGTTTTAGCGCAGCGAGTTTACACTACTTTCTTTTTGTTTTATTTATATCCAGATTTTAATATATCTGTATAGACGTTGTTTGTGTTGTCCACATCTTCTTTGAATTCATCACATTGTCAAGTTTCTGTTGTATTGGTAGGCTTTCCAGTGTCATTCTCCTTCTTTTCCTCTTTCGATGTCCAATACTCGCGTGCTGTCGAAGTCCGCTTTGTGTTCGTTGTTTGCCAAGTGTTGTATGTTCGTTAATTCTTATACCCAGCGCTCGTTTCGTTGTGCCTACATAGCATTTATTGCAGCTTTCATTGCTATTACCAGTGCACATTATTTCATATACTACATTGTGTTGTTGCTCTTTTTCGATCTTGTCGTTTGGTTTAGTAAATATTTTGTTTAGAGTATTGTGTGGTTTATGCGCATATATTATGTTGTTGTTTTTTATTGTTCTTCGCAGTGTTTTATTGCTTGTTAGGCCTGGTATATAGGGATGGGTAGTGGGGGTTGAAATTCGATTTTTTCCGAATTTCGAACATTGCCCAATCATTCGATTTGAAATTCGGTGGTGAAAATTCGATTTCAGTCGATTTTTTTCGAATTTTGCAAAATTAATTTAATTTTGCGAATTAAAGGCTTCTCTTTTGTGTCTGCACCATAGTTTTAGTTCTATGAAATGGGTTACCACAGGTTAGAAAACCAAATTCAAATAATCACGTCCGCAGATGTTTGCGTCAAATATTTAACACCAAGTCATAACATCTGTATCGTTCGTTTTATTTTTAAAAAGGGGGTAGGTGTCAAATGAAAGGGCTTGCCCTGTAGATGTGTAACATGGTTTTAGTTTTGTGCCATATGTAAGAAAATCAAATCAAATTATTTAATAAGTTAAATAGATTACCTCAATATGGGTATCAATCGAAATGGTTTTGAATAAACTTTATTTTTTAATTACATTTAGGAGGGTTGCCGCCTGTTTGAAAAGTCGAATTTAGTTAAAGAAGTGTTGTACTTAAAATACTATGCATTAATGTATATATTTTTGAGGTGCTTGAAGAGAGTGGCCACCTGTTTAAAAAGTTAAACTCAAATTACACTGTGCGACAGCCGAACCCAGCCCGGACTTTGTTAACATTTTCTGAATGTATACCCAATAAGTAGTAAAACGCTCGATGGATTTGCAAAAGTTAGCTCGCATTTTTATTTTATGGCCTGCTAAAGTTTTCATATCTCGCCCTAAGTAGTTTTCAAAAAAGTCGAAAAAATAGTTAAAATAAATGTCTGAGCGAAATTGAAGGTTGAGACATATATATTAAAATTTCTAGGGAAATGTTTTCGTAGACCATTTTAACCCATTAGCTACCGCCTAAAACGGTAATTTTTGACACTTACTTCAAGAAATCTCGCAAAAAGCAAATTTGGCAGATCGTTACTGGATTGATATATTTTAAAAAATTATTCTCCGGAAAATTTTACTAGGGGTCTTCTCAGGAAAACACTTCATGCTTCCAACGTAAAACCCACTAAAAATTTTAAATAAAAAATCAAAGAATAAACTAGTTTTTTATACAAAAATTTTTAAAATTGAGTTTGGAATAACATATCGAAAAACATGTAATTTTTCACTTGAATCCCTAAGACAAATGGAGTGCCGCACACAGTGATGGCAAATTTAGTCAGAAAGAAGAAAGGTGAAGAGTTAATTTTTTTGAAATAAAGATGAAATTCGACTTTTTCTGGAAAAATTTGATTTTATCCGAATTTTAGCAACACAAAGTTCGATTTCAAAAATTCGCCATTTTGGAGCTAAAATTTGATTAAAATGCGA